CTGTTATTTCTAATCAATATATATACACATACACATTTTACATTATGCCCTTTTTTTGACTGACGTTAGAGTTTCGCACCTTCGTTATTTTTCTGCATGAAACACCGGTGTTTCCTGCATTAAAGGTAAAACGGTTTGCTACAAGAAGATAATTTTCTAATTTGCATTTAATTGCAGTTATTTAGATCTAAGACGGATTGCTTAGTTAAATTTTTCAACAAAAAATAAGCATCTTTTAGGCACTTTTCAAGCACTCAAAAAATATTTTTATGCAGTTTAAAAAAATATCATAATTAGGACATGCGTACAAATGAAAAATGTTTTCTTCCTATTGAAGAAAGTTCTTCATATATATATTTACAAAATAATTTTTAAAGACTTTACATGATCATGATAAAAAAATTAGTTTCTGACATAGAACTCTTTTTTTGATTATATCAGCCATCGTGTAAACAATTTATGCACAATTCTAAATATATTCAATATTGAGTGGCTCATTCCATTTTTAAAATTAATAATTACGTTACTTAATTATGCAAAACTTAAAGTTGGTAAAGAAAAAATCTCATTTTGGAAAATGCAAAATTAAAGCCTTTTTAAAAACTTCCAATGAAAAAAAAAAAACCTTTCAGGTTTTTGAAAGACGAAAATCGAAAATAAGCGCTTTTAAGTACTTTTTAAAAACGCTAAGCACTCAGTAGAGAAACGGTTATTCATTATTGAAATTTCTTAAATTTAACAAATAAAAATTAAAGAAACATTTTTGAATATGAAGGGGGGGGGGAAATTAACAACTTTTTTCGGATTTTATAAATTTAGTACAAATATGATTCCAATAATCTAACAGATTTTTTAGACTGTTTTTTAAAATTAAAAAATACCAAAATATAATTTCGCATGTAATTAGAGAGTCAAAAAAAATATATATATATATATATAAAAGGGACACCGGTGTCCATATGCTTTAAAGGGTTAATAACATATTTCTTTAATTTCTACACTAAGCACAAAATTTGTTTGAAACAATGAAGCTTTTTCCATAATTTAATTCCTTGAAAAAGAAAAATTCAATAATTAATGTTTGCATCATTCATAAACTATAAAGGATACATGATTTATGACGTCTTTAAGTTAAAAAGATGTGGGTATGATGATCTCGCAATTTTTTACCGTCTTTTACAGGAAAAACGTTGCAGTTGGGAAATAGGGGTGCGGGATAAATATTTATTTTAATTAGTTACCCGTATGAAAGAGGAACTTGACTATTAAGCCTATTTTTCAAGTTATTTCTTAACAAACTGTCTAATTTTTTTCGTCTCCTTTCATTTGACAGAAAAAAAAACAGTAATTTAAAATAACTAATATAAAGCAGTGTTTTCCATTCAGTTCTATTTTTGTTTGTTAGGGCAAAAATTGGGAAATTTCTTTACCGACAGGTGGAGAATAGTCACATTTGTAAAAGTGACCACTTCTGAAAACACGAGGCCACTTTTTTTAAAAAAATTAAAAATTCTGAACTATTAAAGAGCTGCTTTTGATAACATAAATGCAAAGCATTTACCCCCCCCCCCTTTCGAAGTCTTTTTCCCAAAATACGGCAAACAATACCGAGTTATTAAAAAAAAAAAAAAAAAAAAAAAAAAAAAAATTCCTAACCTCTCCAAGTAGTTTTGTGCAAAATTTAAGTATCGCATATAACGTTTTCAACTAATGAAAATTAGGGATTGACTTTTTGGTCCGATAATGCCACATAAAATTTATACTTAATTGTATATTTATTTAACATATTTAAGCAGAAAATTTATTCATTACAAAATAAATCTTTGATAATAGTAATCATAATCTTGTAACCATAATCGTAATTGAAATCAATCATGAGGAAATCATAATAATAGGAGAAGTTACTCGAGTAAAAACTTCACTCGCTTCAAAAATATACAAATTGGAAATAACAATCGACATGTTTCAAGCGCTCAAAAACAGGCGCCCATTTTCAAGACTTGCCAGACGTGAATGAGTAGAAAGCTATTTTTGAGCTCCTGAAACATGTCGACTGTTATTTCTAATCAAGTTTTTGACCAAGTAATATCATACTGGTTCAGTTTATTGGGATTGTTTATTTAATAATACAAGAAGATGAAACCGCATGTTTTGGGGCATATGAGGTGTATTTTCGGTGAAAAAAGAGGCAATCAGGAGTGATTAAAACAAGTCAACTGTTATTTCCAATTAAGTTTTTAACCAAGAAATATGATACTGGTTTCAATTTTTTGGGCATAGCGATTTTTAATTTTGAACCATACTGCTCATACGAAAACCGCAGTGTTATATGAAGTTCATAAAATACTGATCCATGAGAAACTACACTTGAATGCATGAACAGCTAAAACAGAAAAATTCGAGGCTTACCAATACATAAAAAAGGCTGAAAATGAAAAAAAATAATATATTTGATAGGAAATATTATTAATTCGTGCGAAACTTGAGGAAGAAAATGACATTCAGGAAAAAAAGATGATCAGCAGCCCATTCTGGAATCCATAAGCCCAATGATGAGAAAAAGAATAAAACTTTTTATATCAGGCTTGGAACAAAATTATTACTTCGCTTCAAAAGAAAAAAAAAATATAAGGACAGGAAAAGATCGAA